GACCAGTGGTTCCCAACCTTTTTTTGGCCATGCCCCCCTAAGCATATCTAAAATTCTGACCCCCCCCCCCATGACATATAATTCCTACTATTCAAAAAATGAACTCCTACTCATGCAGAGGAAGCCTAAAATGCCATTAACTTGGTTTAAACAAGGTTCCAAACATGGAAAAAGAACGAGATGGTAGAAATACTGAGGAACTTAAAAAAGTATGAAGGGATATGAAAAAACAGCAAATAAAGTTTCAAAACATATAATAAAGAACTGAAATGCATAAATATAAAATAATTTTAATAAAAGCTTTTTTTGTAATACTTTGATCATATTAATTACTATATATATTAAAATAAAGGTATCTAACAAATTCAAAATACAATCTTAGCTCATCACAAGATCCTATTTACAATGCAATTCTAAGCATGTCTACTCAGAAATAAGTACCATTGTCTTCAATGGGGCTTATTCCTGGGAAAATGTTATAGGATTGCAGCTTTAGTCTACTTAAGTTAGTGAGATCCTTGTGCTTGATGCCTGCTACAGAGAGATTTTATATTAGGCTCCAATTTAATCAGCTTCATTCTCAAGTCTCCTTGTTCAGTGATATCCATTTGATTTCTTTTCTTCAGTAACAAATCATTTACAGCACTAAAGCCACATTCAGCTAAATATGAAGATGAGAACGGTAACAGCAGTTTTCTTGCAAAGTAGGTTGAATTTGGGTATTTAGTTTCTGTCTCATCACAAGGCCATGCCATAGCTCCTTTTATATTGAACAATATTTTAATAAAAAGATTGTCATGAATGAAAGGGGGGTTGTACCCTATGACCCCCCCCCCCATACTCGCCCACTCGGTTTGAACCTGCAGCTTAGTGGGGAAATGCTTTGGTAGTTCAATAGGTGGAGGTGAATCACACAGGCCTGGCAAGGCCTATGCACGCATGGCCCAACACCAGATCGCTCTGAGAGGAAAAGTCTTGTAAAACACAGCCTGGGAAAACACAGCCTAAAAATAACTGTAAATCTTACTTAAATTTGGGTCCTGGTTCAGTATCCTCACTGCTGGGCTTCCCCCAGCAGCCATCCACTCTGTCTTCCCCCAGAGCAGCTCTCGCTGAAAACACCCAGCAGCAAAGCCCAGAGGCATAGAGAGAGAGAGAGATTCTACCAGTCCCAGGATCCTTAGTGGGAACACATCTGATTGGCTAGCAGTTGCTCCCTCTTCCACCCAGCTGGGATAGCTTTTTCAGACCTAGGATAGTGATGGCTAACCTTTTTTGGCTCCCATGCCAAAAGCGGGGGGAGCGCAGGGGCATCGTGCATGGACATGTCACACCCATAATGCTGTGTGTGCAACCCCCCCCCCAGCGTGCATGCATGCGCAACCAGCCCCCCACTTTTGGCACGGTTTATTTGCCCTCTCCAGGCTCCAGAGGCTTTCTAGGAGCCTGGAGAGGGTGAAAACAAAAACGGCCCTACAGACAAATAGGAAGTTACTTCCGGTTTGCTCATTTTTTGCCCTCCGGAGCCTTCAGGGAAGCCTCCTGAAGCCTCCTGAAGGTTCCGGAGGGTGAAAAATAGCCCTACGAGCAAACCGGAAGTCCATTCCCAAACTTCCGTTTTGCCCGTAGGGTTGCTTTTTTGTGCTTCGGAGGCTTCAAGGAAGCCTTTGGAGGGTGAAAAACAGCCTCAAAGTCCAAAGTCAGCTGACAGGGCAACGCTTCACGTGCCTAACAAATGGCTCCATATGTCACCTGTGACACACGTGCCATAGGTTCACCATCACGGCCCTAGGAAATGCATTTTTAAAAATTAGGTAAATGAAACACAGCTATTTCATAACAAATACATAAGAACAATTAGTGGGCTTTCAAAAATTCAGTAACATAACTGATATTCATAGGGATTGAAACTAATAGAAGAGAATATTTTAACTCTGAGTTGAACTGTAGAGTCCTTGATACTCTGAAGCATGGAAGATGTTATCTAGTTGGATAATGAATCATCTGTAAGAAACAACCAAGCTCAGAGAGCATCAAGGACTCCAAATAGGGATTGATACAGTAACTGTTGTCCAGTTTGTGATCGACTTAAGCAGGTCCTCATTTTTTTTTTCTATGAAAAATGCCAAAAAATCTCTGTAATTCTTTAAAATAAGAAGCAAACCTATGCATGTACATTGTGTTACACTCTAGATCTCAAAAACTAAAAGGCATAATAAACTCTACAAGCTCATTCATGTCCATTTGATTTTTATTTGCCTGTAGGTGGCTTAGTATGAAATATTGAATAAAGAGCTGTAGCTGTATAGAACAGTGGCATATATTAAATATGAATATTGTTTTAATAAAAGCTTTATTTTTTTACTGTTGCCATGGTTCCACATTTTATAGCAGTGAGCTTTAAGCATCATCCCCCTTCTATAGAACAACATTATACTGGGACTTCCAATGGCCCCAACTCTATGGGAGTTTAGGAAAAATTGAAAACATGTTTGTTCCA